ATCCGATATCGATATCGGATCGGGACACCCCTAGTTATTAGTGAAGAAAACCCGTCTGGATAACAGCAGACTGACTGCTGGTAAAATATACGACAGGTCTGGACCACTCCTGAATTTTGTTCGTATCTGAAAAAAATCTTAGAATATGAAAACATTGGTGAATGCCACAAATTCTCCTAAATCACTCGTACGCACAACTTAAGAACAAATCTGTGCGTACCAACGGTTCTTGCATGAGGCCCAATTGCTTCAAACTGACCCCGCCCCCTGCAGGTAGTCACCATGTGGACATCAGAGTGGGCGGAGACTCCATGATAGCCCGCCTCCTGAGAACAACAATTTCAGGCTTCAACAGTTCATCTGATGTGAACATTGAGAGTGATAACAGAGGTGGGTCATGTGACAGAAAAACAATAACACACATTTCCTCTTCATTCGAACCATTCTCAAACATTGTTGCTTTAAATGTTACATCAACCAACAACCTGTTTAATGAAGAAAAATATTACAAGTTTTATTAAGTTTTTACTAACCCAAACTTTTGATTCATCTCTGCTTGTTTCTTGAATTTAAGATTATTTTTGTATAAATATAAAATATCTGAGTTGTTTTGATCAGCAGAGTTCATTAATTAATGAAATATTCTCTGAATGTTTGATAAAAATATGTTTTTATATCTGAAACTGTTCCTGTCAGCCTCCTGTTCAACCAGCAGAGGGAGACAGACTCTCAGACAGTAAAGAGCCTGGCTCCCTCCTCCTCTCCTCTCCTCTCCTCTCCTCTCCTCTCCTCTCCTCTCCTCTCCTCCATCAGTGTGTGTGTCGCCCCCCTCCCCCCTCCCTGGCGGTGTGTACGTCAGCTGTGTGTGTTGTGTCGTGATGGTGGTGCTGTTCAGCTGCCTTCAGGTTTACACCAACCGGCTCCGACGGGTCATCGCTGCCTTCTACTACCCCAAGGTACCGAAACACACATCAGCCGTAACATTATGACCACGTACAGGTAGGGTTGGGTACAGAAACTGGGTTCTGGTACGGCACCGGGGAGAACATCAACAGTGGTGCATAGACCCAAACACAACTAACTTCAGTGCCTCAAAGAAAGCTGTTAAACTGCGCCCTCTGGTGTTCAGTGTTAACACTGACAGCCTCTGGTGTTCACTGTTAACACTGACAGCCTCTAGTGGTCACTGACAGCCTCTGGTGTTCACTGTTAACACTGACAGCCTCTGGGTTCACTGTTAACACTGACAGCCTCTGGTGTTCACTGTTAAAACTGACAGCCTCTGGTGTTCACTGTTAACAGTGACCACCAGAGGCTGTCAGTGTTAACAGTGACAACCTCTGGTGTTCAGTGTTAACAGTGAACAAAAGAGGCTGTCAGTGTTAACAGTGACAGCCTCTGGTGTTCAGTGTTAACAGTGAACACCAGAGGCTGTCAGTGTTAACAGTGATAGCCTCTGGTGTTCACTGTTAACACTGACAGCCTCTGGTGTTCACTATTAACACTGACAGCCTCGGCACACAATCTCCACAGCCACGCTGTTTCTGAACCTCCTCTCCGGTGGTTCAGGTAGAAGCGAGTACAGCATGCTTATGATTTTAATGTCAGCAGAATTCTGCTTGTGGATTAACTCTTGGATTGACTGACAGCAAATTTCCTCCTGGAGAGAGCTGTTTTTGTTTAGGAATACGAACGGGCGGCGTGATACGACAACATGGTGAAATAAAACAGGCACAACTTGTAAACACTTCCTGGAGAGAGGTGAAGGAGACGAAGCTGAGCAGATCACGGGAGGTTTCCAACAAACTGACCGCCCACGGTTACACAAACACTTAGCTAAACAGCACCGTGAAAACAAATAAACAAATTAAATAAACGAAAAAATAAACAAATAAATAAATAAAAAGTGAAGTCTGAACGGTAACACAAATACACAATAATAAAAATTAATTCACATAAAAGTGTTAAAATAATGTTGGCATTTTTAAAAACATATTTAAAAACTGTTTCAACTCCAGTTTAAAATCATTTGACATTTTTTCCTCTGTTCTGGTTTTAAATGAGAAAACTGTTTCTGAGCTTTTATTTTGGGCCGGGCTCATCGTGTTCTGACTGGATCTGTTGTTCAGTTAATAAATATGTCAGAGGTGTCATATTATTTATAATTTTAAAGAGTAAACACAACTTTACTAATTTAATCCTATTTTTTATTTAACATTTTGACATTAATGTGTTTTTCTAACCAGAATCTCAACAGTCTGTAAAACTTAATTAATTTAAAAACATAAACGCAGCTATCTGCCACAGGTAAGATATTCATTGTTAAAAGTTTTACACAGAACCACTTCAAACTGGTGGAAGTGTCTCTTTAACAAAACCTGTAAGAGTGGAAAAAACACACAACTCTTTGTTTTAGATTAGAACATATGCTGTGATGTCACTTCCTTTCCTGAAGTGATGAAGAAGCAAACCACACAATCTCATTAACACACACACACACACACACACACTGCTGTGTGAGCTGCAGTAAATCTGATTAATGTAAGAGCTTTAAAACAGCAGAGCTGACGGCTCTAACGGTGGTTAACAGAAGTGTTCTTCCTGCTGAGGAACAAACTCTCGCTCATATTCATCTTTAAATCACCTGCTCATTTGTTTTTATGTAAATAAATTAAACCTAAAGTCAAGTTCTTCAGGGTTTTTCATGTGACGTTACAGGTTTCAGCTCACTTCACTGTGTGACAGACTGAGCTGAAGCTGCAGCCTGTGTGTAGGAGTGAAAACACATAATTATATTTTAAGCTGTGATCATTCTTCAGCTCAGATTATCTGCTGACTCAGCTGAGATCTAACTCCTGTCTGTTTCCTGTCAGCGGGAGAAGAAGCGAGTTCTGTTCCTCTACAACCTGCAGCTCCACAGACAGATCTCCTCCTGCGACAGGAAGAGGAGGAGCCGCCTAGGGCCGAGGACGGTGAGCGTCTCCTCAGGGCTCAGATCCTGAGGTCTGCTCAGAGGATCACAGTTTCTGCTGATGCTTCATTCATCTGTGGTCTGATGTTTCAGCAGTTTTATCTTTATATGTTTTAAACCACAACAGATTTTTATTCATCAGTTTGTTAAACGTGTCTTTGATTAGTTCATTGTGTTTATCAATGAGAGGAAATCAAATCCATCATTTATCCTGTCAGCTGTCAGGCTTCAGCTGCTGCACGCTCCTGTGGAGCATTTGGGTTCACTTCCTCCCTGCTCCTTGTCTGCAGGTGTTCCAGCGCCTGAGCAGGTGGGGGCGTGGCATCTTCCGTCACAAACAGGAAGTGTTCGACACAGAGGAGACGAATTACGCCGGTGGTTAGGAGGAAGCTGGAGGGACACGTCCCGCTCCTCGTCCTGATCAGATAAAGTGTCTCTGATTGAAAAGTCAGAATCAGAGTTTTTCTTTTTTAATCTGAGAAAACTGATTTTCAAAAGAAACGACTGAAACAACGAGCCGAAGATCAGTTCAGACCAGACACATTACTTTTTCTGTCAGGCATGAAGGCAGCTGTTACAGCTAAAGGAGACAGAATAGTTGCTAAAAGTAACCAAATAGTAGCTAAAAATAGCAAAAGGCCAGCTAAAAGTAACAATGATTGCTAAAAGTAGCAACAGGACCACTACAAGTAACAGAATAGTAGCTATAAGTAGCAACAAACAGCTAAAAGTAACAGAATGGTAGCTAAAAGTAACAACAGACTAACTAAAAGTAACAGAATGGTAGCTATAAGTAGCAACAAACCAGCTAAAAGTAAGCAACAAACCAGCTAAAATTAACAGAATGGTAGCTAAAAGTAGCAACAAACCAGCTAAAAGTAACAATAGTAGTTAAAAGTAGCAACAGGACAGCTAAAAGTAACAATGATAGCTAAAAGTAGCAACAGACCAGCTAAAAGTAACAGAATAGTAGTTAAAAGTAGCAACAGGACAGCTAAAAGTAACAATGATAGCTAAAAGTAGCAACAGACCAGCTAAAAGTAACAGAATAGTAGTTAAAATTAACAGAATAGTAGCTAAAAGTAACCAAGTAGAAGCTAAATATATTAACAGGTCAGCTAAAAGTAACTAAATAGTAGCTAAAAATAGCAAAAGGCCAGCTAAAAGTAACAATGATAGCTAAAAGTAGCAACAGGACCACTACAAGTAACAGAGTAGTATCTATAGGTAGCAACAAACCAGCTCAAAGTAACAGAATGTTAGCTAAAAATAGCAACAGACTAACTAAAAATAACAGAATAGTAGCTAAAAGTAACTAAAGGTCAGCTAACATTAACAGAATGGTAGCTATAAGTAGCAACAAACCAGCTAAAAGTAACAGAATGGTAGCTAAAAGTAGCAACAAACCAGCTAAAAGTAACAGAATGGTAGCTAAAAGAAACAGAATGGTAGCTAAAAGTAACAAAAGGTAAGCTAAAAGTAACAGAATAGTAGCTAAAAGTAGCAACAGACCAGCTAAAAGTAACAGAATAGTAGCTAAAAGTAACAGAATAGTAGCTAAAAGTAACAGAATGGTAGCTAAAAGAAACAGAATAGTAGCTAAAAGTAACAATGACAGCTAAAAGTAGCAACAGGACCACTACAAGTAACAGAATAGTAGCTAAAAGTAACAGAATGGTAGCTAAAAGTAACAAAAGGTCAGCTAAAAGTAACAGAATAGTAGCTAAAAGTAGCAACAGACCAGCTAAAAGTAACAGAATGGTAGCTTAAAGTAGCATAAAATGAGAAAAAGCATGTAGCTGAAGCAGAACAAAGTTTTTTTAACTGAGCCCATCTCCTGAATGAGCTGAACGTTTTGAGAAATGAACAGCTAACAATCTGCAGAAGTGGTTAGACAACATAAAGTGTACAGAAAAATAAAAGCTATAAGTGCTGAATCAGCGTTAACACAGTTCAGATGATGAATTTTGCTGCAGCTTGTTTTTAATCTCCATCAGTTTAAATATCTGCATCTTGAGTTAAACGGCTAAAAAAGCTTTTAACAAACAAAACAATTGTTTTAATCATCTGTGGATCAGCTGAACTGTGTGTGTGTGTGTGTGTGTGTGTGTGTGTGTGTGTGTGTGTGTGTGTGTGTGATCACTTGATCTGATTACCTCCACTCTGTGTGTACAGATGAGTTATGTAATCAGCTGATCCTCAGCAGCACCTGCAGTGTTTGTTTCATTCAGGATTTTAATGGGAACTGACCCGGATCAGTTCAGTCCTCTGACCCATGATCCTCCCACTGGGTCACAGAACCAACCCCTCCAATCTGATTCTGACCTGCATTAACTGAGATCAAACATTTCAGTGTGGACCAGTTAGACCAGTGAATTACACTAATCACCAGTCTGACCATCATGTTAGTCTCTGTATTAAACTGTAGAACTGTTCAGCCTGACTATAAATTATTTAATGATTTGTGTGGTTAACTACAGCTGCTAAACACACCACCTGGTGCTCCTCGTGCGGTTTGATCTGTTGAAAAGTCTAGTTTTACAGCGCGGGCTTTTATTTTGAAGGCTGAACTTCCGGCGTCCTGCCTGTCCCAGTTCCGGTTAGCTTGACTCAGCGGGGGTGACGTCTGCGTTACCTCGGGTTATAAACACGGGCGGTCCGGTCCGGTCCGGTGCCCTTCCCTCTATGACCCTCCGTCAGAACAAACACACCGAACTTCAGAGTGTCCAGTGGGACCGAACAGAACCGAACCGGAACCCGTCCTCCCGGTCCTGACGGCAGCCTTCGGAGTTGACCGCGGAGCTGCGCAGAGATTCCCCGGGGGTGTCCCGCCGCATAAACAGCACCGACATAACGGTCCCGACCCACGCGTGGGGGGGTTCTGTGTTTGATGTGGGTTCTGCAGGGAGACCAGGTACCATGGAGGTTCGGCGGAGCCCGTCCCGGGGCTCCGGCACCGTGAGGTAACTGGAGCGAGACGGGAGTGCCTGACAAAGCGGCGACCTGTTGCTGGTTCCCGGTGACGCAGCGAGGATGAGCGGCGGCGCCGGGCTGCTGCTGCTGCTGCTGCTGCTGGGCGGCCGTGCTGCCTTCACGGTCTGCAGGTCCCTGAACGCACCGCGGGACCTCCTGCCTCTGGACGGACAGAGGGACGGAGCTGTGGCAGGTTACAGGACTTTAAAATAACTCAGGATCAGTCTAATGAAGTGTTAATATTTACTGTTTACAAAGAAAAATATAAGATTTCTGCAGGTTTGTCTAACAATTATAATTTACTACACAGTTGTTAATAAAATGTCTAATTTATGTGTTTTATGTTTGTCACTTCAATATATTTTTCCATTTAGCTAAGATATTTTAGCTTTTATTTAAGTTTCATCTGAAACTAATGTTTCTGGTTTATTTGTGAGCCATGATATCAAAATGAGGATTAAGTCAAATTTGGTCAAAATGATCTAATTACATTTTCTGATTCTTGTCTTTAAAAGCTACATTTTGATACCTGGATCATTCTGATATCATAATTAAATCCATATATATGACTTAATTTGTCTTGTTGTTACAATAATACAT